TTGGCAGGTAACAAGGAGGATCAAGGGACACAGCACCACTACAAACTCATGACTGTCCTTACCCAGCGCAGGAACCGGGACAGTTTGGTGTAGACCCCATATTTGCCTTTCCTTGCACATCCTTCACCCCAGCTAACAATTCCAGTAACAAAATAAGTATCCTTGTATCTGGTCACATGAGGGCCACCACTGTCTCCTTGGCAAGCATCCTTTTCCTCTGTGTCATAACCAGCACAGAACATGTTCTCAGTTACCACAAAATAAGTGGATTGCACACAAGTGTTCCTATTAACATAGGGGAGTTCAAGCACCTTCAGTTTCTTTGGGAGTTGTCCACCATCATATTCCCGGCCAAAGCCACTAACCCTCCCAGACTTCTGCGTCATCAGAACTTCATTAGCAAAGTCTGCTTTGGGGAGACATGCTGGGATGACGTACTCTGAAAATCTGATAGGTTCCTTCAGTTTTAGCAAGGCGATGTCATTATCGTAAGTCTCAGCAATAAATTTGGAGTGAACGTATATTTTGTCCACTGTGTGCATTGATTCAGACTGCTCCGTCTTCTCTCTGTCCACCTCACCTGCACAAGAGCATTAAAAGGGTCATCAATGTAGAGAAAGTACAAGAATTTCAGAAAAACCTTGACAGAGGAAGAGAGCAGTATATTCATTCTGTGTACTTTGCCCAGGACATTAGACCACACAAGGAAACTGTAAACAGGTATGGCAACATTTCTTAGCAGCAACTGGATTGGCTTTGGTCCTGAGATTTGGTCTATGGAGATTTTTTATGTACCAGTTTACACAAAGGCATAAGCTGATTCAGCTAAACTAATGCAATTTTGTGTAGAAGCACTCCCAGGAGCTTGAGCCTGGCTTAGAGAAGAGAACAGGGTCTGGACTACAACAGTGCAAAGATGAAGCTGTGCTGATTCTGTGTCCTGGCTCAAAGGGAAGCCATGGGAAATCTGAGTTTGTTCTTGTCTGTTCTATTCAATGAGTCAGAGCTTTTCTGAGAGTTCTTGCAAGAACAACTCTGGATGCTTCTGAAGTGCCAGGAATGATGGGCTTCCTGCAGAAGCTCTGCTCTGCTGAACACATTGATAACCAATATTTTTAGAATATTTAACTGAAATCACTTCCAGCTAGCTGGCAGAGAAGAGAGGCACCTGTTGTTACAAAGAAGGATAGTCAGAATGACAAAAAATTATAAAAAGCAGCCAAAAGGTAACAAACCTTAATGAATCATGAGTACATCTCATAGGAGATTTAAGGCACAGAAGGTTCGGCCCAACAGCTACTCTCAACTCAGAGGAGTAAAAAAAAATACTCACCAACAACAACTTGGATTTCTTTGGATTGGTTTATGCAATGAGCTGCAGTAAGTACGAAATTTTCATTCAGAATAGTTCCACCACAAAACTCTTCTCCTTCCTCATTTAACAGAACAGCCTGTGAAGCAAGACAGGTAAGGGCACAAGGAGGAAGTGCGGTTTAATGTTGACGAGCTATAAAGCACCAATTGACTTTTCACACTACAGAGATGTCTCTCACTGCAACATGTATGCGGCCCTCCACGTCCCTCCTAGCTTTGCATTTCCTCATGCAAAGGCTGCTGATTGACTTCTACTGCTACAGAGTCCTGATTGTCTCCATGTGAAGTTAAAACATTTGCCTTCCACATTACCTCACTGCCAGGGCTGAGTAACGCCCCTCAGGCATTGACTGACTGAGCAGGCAGAGTGCAGATTCCTGATCACCACATCCCTTGGACTTACCCCCCAAACAATGTCCAAATACAGGAATTCATTTTGGCTTGCCCAAACTCAAGGGTGAAATTGAGACATGAGGGTGTATTTGTGAACAAAAATGCTGGCTTTATCTGGCATGCACTTGGATGTGCTGCCTGGGGTGATGGTCTCAGAGAGAACAAAAATGTAACCTGCAAAAATGGCCTGGGAGAACAGCATGACCCAAAGTCCTCTCTGGGGACAGGGTAGGCAGTTCCATCTAAAATGACACACAGCCTTTTGTTTTGGCCCCCTGAGGCTGCACTTTGCAGAACAGCACATCCAAGTGCCCAGGGTCACACAGCTCAGCTACATCTCACTGCTGCTGGCACGTGACACGGGCCGTGTTCAGAAGGCTCCCAGCTGGAAGGAGGCTCTGCTTGCCTTCCCTCAGACACGCTCTGCCCACATGCAGGGCAAAGCCCCCTCCATTCACCTGCCATGGGCATTGGCCAGGAAGACACTCATCCCCACCAACTATCCTGGTATTGACATATGGATTCTTGCCGCTTGTTCTGTTGTCAGGTGGAGGTGTTGGGCTTTCTGTGGTAATTACAAAGTTCTCCTCTGTGGTCATTTCATATGCAGGAGGGTCTTGATCACTCGTTACATTGCCTTGGTCAGTGGGTGAAAGAACAGACCTTTTTTTCCTTGCCACAAAAACTTTTCCGCAAGGGTATTTTACTGTAAAGAGAAGAATGCTGAAATTAAAGATGGAGAGAAACACCAACACAAGAAGAATCTCCTTGGAAATACCATCTCACAATATATAGTGTTGTTTCCTCATTTTCCAGACAATATGAAAGACTTGGCCCATGGAATCAAGGAAGAAAGACCATATGGTTTGAAAAATGAGTTCTATTTTCTCTTCAGCTTCCATCTCACAATCATGTTTTGAAAGTATTTAAAATTTACTACACCATCTTCAATTTGGTTTTAACAAATTTAATACATCATCTTCAATTATTTACATTGATAGATAAATGTAGTTCCTCTTAATACAATATACTTAATTTGGAGACTGGGTGAAGTGCTTTATTTTAGGAATAATATGGCTAATCATAGCAATTTGTTATTAGCTATGAAATACATAAAACCTGACATGATATCTAATTGGTTGACTTACCCCGCCCCCCGTGGTATTTTGAAATACAATAAAATTGTACATATGTACATTGGATAATTATGATTAACACTATCTCTTCAGTTGCAAGTTGATAAGGTTAACTGCAATTTAAGTGTAAATTTTTGCAAGCTGCTCTTTTGTATGGCCTGTAAGTGTTTAAGCAAAGATTCTACTGTGATCAGTTTTCTCAGCATGTCCTCACCTTGTGTCCTGTGTACAGTTTTTGACATATAAATATCAGAAATATATAAAGCTGTTAGAGATTGTCCAAATGAGGGCAACAAAGATGGTGAAGGGCCTTGAGGGGAAGTAGGAGGAGTGGCTGAGGTCACTTGGTCTGTTCAGCCTGGAGAAGAGGAGACTGAGGGGAGGCCTCATTGTGGTCTACAGATTTCTCCTGAGGGGAAGAGGAGGGGCAGACACTGATCTCTTCTCTGTGATGACCAGGACATGGAATCACAGAATCCTTTAGGTTGGAAAAGATCTCCAAGATCTTAGAATTCAACCTTTGACAGATCACCACCTTTTTAATTGGCCTGTAGCTTTACATGCCACATTCAGTTGTTTCTTGAAAATCTCCAGGGATGGTGTCCCCACCACTTCCCTGGGCAGTGCATTCCAGTACTGGACAGCCCTTTCCATGAAGAAATCTGAGAGAATGGCAGGAAGCTATGTCAGGGGAGGTTTAGGTTGGATAGTAGAAAAAGGTTCTTCACCCAGAGGGTGGTTCCCCAGGGAAGTGGTCGAGGCCCCAAGCCTGAGAGAATTCAAGAAATGTGTGGACAACAATTTCATGCACATGGAGTTATTCTTGGGGAAGTCTAGTAACAATCCAGGAGTTGGATATTGATGATCATTGAAGATTCCTTTCAAAACAGGATAGTCTGTGATTCTAAGATTTTTTGTTATCTTGTTACCAGCAGAATTTACTCTGACATGCCTCACTGAGAGGCACCTTGCAAAGGGGTCAAAATCATGTACATTTTGATCCACTCCATCACAGCACCTCACAAATGGAAGGTTTGGAAATACAAATCTCTAAGCCTCACTGTTGGATCTATGTCATGTAGGATACTGGTGGTTCAAAAGACAT